CATTAAAGAAGATTTTTTTTAAATGCGGATATAGACGTTATAGGATTTACTGCCATACAACTGGTATTACTGTATAACAAATCGTCTATACCCACAGCGTACTTGTTACCAGATACTTAATTTAATTTTATAATTAATATTACTACATCAACGCTTACGAAATTTGAATGGCAGCCATTGATACCCGCAACCGTGCTGCCACCCTGAACAAAGTTGCCGAGTTCCCAATATATGTTGTAACTTACAGACCAATGCTAATCACAAAAGCTGCAATTATTTATAACCTAAATGCTATATTTAACCGAACGCATATTCATTTTAGGGACAAATTTATCCATATAGATAACTGAAACTATATGTCGTTATATAAGATATTACAATCCTTTTGCTTTTAAATTAACTAAATAAGAAACACCCTCAGTCTGTAGCCCTTTTGCTGAAAAGTCGTTTTGCGCAACTTTTTCAGATCGTGCGCTTTGAGTGGCGCCACCATCGTTGTAATCAAACTGTAGGACAGTAGTCGTTAGTTTTAAAACATTTTTTTAAATATTTTAATTGTGAATATGAACCATGAAAGGTTTATGTAGCAAATTTTAGACCTAAATTAAACTGAAAATCACCCTAGAACCTAAGAGTAAAGGATCCCTTTAAACATTCGACCGGTGTTGTTCCTAAAGCATCCACGTGTATCTAAAGCTTGCCTCATAAAGCTTGTGACAGGATGTGCCACATTGCGGAAGCAGGTTGCCATCGACAGAATCCAACAAAGTGCCTGTTAACTGAATACTGCCTCTGCACATGCAAGTGGCAAAAGCAGCAAGGAAGAGGGCCTGAGATCTAGAGTGGCAAACCCCTGTGTAAGGACCATGGAGATAAGTCATGAGTATAACACAGCCATTTTAAACTTGTTGGTCTGGGACGATGTTCTAGCAGAAGATAAATGGTTGCAGGCAGAAGAACTAGTAGCAGTAATATAGATAGCGTATCAGTAATGTGTCAAGATGCTAAGTGTCACATGTGCAAGTGTCCTGAAAGCTAGGATTTCAAAAATTAATTTTTGACTGGTTTATGTTTTTACGCCACTCTTTACGTACTTACCGTTATTGCTTGGAGTAACAACGGCACTGTGCTAGACTCTAGATTAGAACCCTCGTACTTAGCGTATATTGCCCCACAACATACACGTTTGAAATTTTGATTACTCGTTTGATTTCCACTGCCATTTCTGCGAATCTCGGACTTTCTCACGGTAGCGGTGAGACATCAGCCAGCGGATAAGTAATTGTAAAAAATCACACCATGTTCACTACACACGAATCAGCAATCACCCTCTTATTTGAATTAGTGCACTTGTTTAAACGGCTGCCATTTGCAAATTAATTGTTGCTATTATATAGTATATATATATATGCCATGGTTGGTTACAATGTGTTTCAATTCCAATTGTTCTATATATAAACCAGCATAAATTCTTTAGTGTTTTCCAGTTAGTGTATTTCAAACGGAATACTCTTACTCTAGAATTTGAGGCGAGTATATTATTGATAGTAGATTTATAAGTAATAGCACAGACCTATAAATATCTATAATTACGCATTCACGTTTGTCATAAAACAACATTTAATTTCGAAATCTTTAATTTTTGGCGCTGCCATGACACCCGCGATCATGCTGCCACCCTGAAAAAGACTTACGCATTAGCCAATTTTTATTTTGCCACGTTACAGCACTGAGGGTAATCACAAAAGCTACAATTATATGTTGCTACCTAAACTGCCTATTTAATCGAACGATATTTGATTTGTAGGTACAAATTTAGTCCATATTATAAACTGAAACTATATGTCGTTCTATAAGATATTGCCCAATATCTTCTGCCCTTTTAAATAATTAATAAGAACACACCCTCGGTGTGTAACCTTGGGCTCGAAAAGTCACTTTGCCGGCGCACTTTCAGATAGTGCGCTTTGATGTCGCGCCACTGTCGCTTGTAACCAAAACTGTA